CAAGTTCCACAGAGAGAGAACACGGAGGTGCTCACGGGACAGCCGAGGACGGGAAATGCTGAATGTCAACCCCGCTCAGCCAAGGAGGAGCTGACCTTTGAGAAGTATCCGATGGTGCCAGTGATTATGCCTGGCTTAGCACTTCCTTGGCCACATGGCCAGCGAGTCCTGGCCGCTGTCCCCACACTGTGGCAGCCAAGCATGCTTAATGAACCCAGCAGAGTGATAAACTATGTTTGTGTTAATACCTCTGATTCCAACCCCCTCCTCCAGCGTTGGTATTTTAAGCATCCTTTTGATGTGCCACAAGTCCTTATTAAGAACAATCAAATAAACACACTGGGTTTAAGGCAGAAATGTTAACAGAAGTCCTAGGACTCTTATTCCTTCTGCTTGATGGATTGCACCTCCAGAAATATATCAGTGCAACCTGAAAAATAGGTGAGGGGGGTCAGGAAGCTCAGAGAAATGCCTTGGAGGCTCAACTTTCGCCCTGACTGGATCTACCTGTAGTCTGGCTGCAGCTAATACCTAGTTATATCACCTCAAACATTTTCCAAAACAGCCCTGGTTTCCTGGGGCAGATGGATGCAGTAATTCGTTTATCTGGGGTGAGCAGTAGCTTGTGGAGAGGGCTGGTTTTGTTCCTACACTGGGAGAGCCTCTAGGGCTCCAACCACCTTCCCTCAGGACTTCCCACATCTCCAGGGACTAGGGGCAGGGCCAGCAGGGACTTTCAGGAATGCTTATTGGTCCAGATAAGATGTGGGTAGTGGCTCTGCCCACTGTGGAGCAGGAAAGGGAATACATTTACTGCTGGGTCACTTCAGGTATGCCCTGGGCCGTCAAAGTCAGCCTGGCAGGTTGCCAGGGCTGGCCGGGGAAATGACTGACAACTTGGTTATTGGAAAGCTCCCATCTTTAGCAGAGGAACTTTGTTTGGTTTCTATGGTGACCTTCACTACAAGGGCCTGGCTAAAGCTGAAGGAATGTGTTACCTAAAACCATCTGCCTCCAGTGTTCATGGCCTCAAGGAAGCATACTCACTCATTGGTGGCCCATTCCTCTCCATATCCCTGTCCCTCTTGGTCAGGCTTCCCAGCTGCCTCTTCCCTGAGGAGGGCCAGCAAAGACAACTCTGGGCCTGCTACAACTCTCACATTCCCCAAGAAGCCTGTGGACTTCTTGGCCTTGGGCCTCGTGGCCAGCTAGCACATGTGTCCAGGGCTTAGTCAGAAGCCCATAGGATTTCAGGAAGCTGCTGGTTCCTGAAATCCTATCTGGTTCCCACCATACCAGGTTCACACTGTTCCCAAGAAGGCATCAGTCTGTGCCTCATCATGTTTCTGCCTTTTTAAACCTGAGCAGCACTAAGCAAAGGCTGTCCTACAGCATGGACACCGAGACCCCCTCCACTAACCAAAGGCCCTCAACTTTGCTTCCTAATCCTTGAAAAAAGGATTCTCCAAAGTGGGGCTCCATGGAGGCTGGATTCTGCTTTGTCTGTTCACTGGGGTCCACAAACAAAAGCGGGTTTCTGCTTGGCGTGCCCAGACAGTGGGAACAGTGACTTCCCTACAAAGCTTCTGCCCAGCTCCCCAGAGCTGCGTTGCTGCTTAGCTGCTTAGCCCGGCCTCACCTCTATCCCCTTCCTTCAGCTCCTTGCTCACTGCACACTTTCAGTCCCAGGTGGCAATGGGAATGTTTGTGGCCTTCCCTCCACACTGTGACCTTGAGTGAAGTGGTCCACCAGCCCGTGACCTTCTTCAGTCTGTTCTCTTCAGAAGCAGAAGAGGCAGGGTGGGTTTTATCTATCTATCTATCTATCTATCTATCTATCTATCTATCTATCTATCTATCTATTTTCTTGCTGCTAAAGGAGGAACATGTTGCTGCAATGGGGGTGGGGAGACATGAGTAACTAACAGAAGTAACTCAAGGGCAGTGACCTAACTGGTTCTCACACCAGGACAGACTCATAAGATAGGGTCCACTCAGCTTCCTCCTTTGCCTCGGCCTCTCAGGCAGAGCAGGCACCTCTACACTGACCTGCTGTCTCTTTCCTCCATGGGGGACAGTTCCTGAGTCTGCTGCACTGATGACTTTGCAGAAAGGAAAAGCCTCTAGAAGGATAGCCACTGCAAGGTACTTCGTGGGAAACAACCTATGTCATAGGCCTATAAGAATCCTCTGACAATACACTTTGTTGGGGCTAATGAGGCCAGGCCAAGGAGGTTGGTCTATGCTGTTTTGCTGAGTGATATTTACTGGACTGGCTGTTTAATTAACTGCTAGCAACAGCTGGAGCCACACATGGCTTGTTCCTAGCACAGGGAGCAGCTGGAGAAGCAGGACAAACAGTCGAAAAGCAATGACATTTTTCAGTGATCCCTGACCCGTAATGGACTCAATGACATTTCCTGCTAATCCATGAGTTTCTTCTGTACTCCAGGGTTTCATCTGTGGGGAACAGTTTTAATTTATTTGGAAATAATTGACTTGGTTACTCAATAGAACTGACATGTATGTCTATAATTTTTTTTTCTAGAAGAAAGATTTATTTTCTCATACTCCCCTGGCATGAATCCCTGTCGTGCTTCGTTTTGTAGACTTTTAGGGCCAGTTCAAACCAAAAGCTTCTGATCTGGAAGCAGTTGGGCTGTGGTAAGGAACGACTTTCCCACCTCATCTGATGCCCCTAACTGAGCAAACTGAGCTGTGGCAGGGGGTGGGGGAGGGGATTCTCCCGGGTAGAATACACTCTGTGCTCTGCAGAACAATGCTCTGTAAGAACCAGGAACAAGATCTCACACCCTAGAGCCCCAGCTGCCCTTCACTGCAGGATGATGGCAAGCACTTCCCATGGCAAACGCTGCCCCCTTAAGGCTCTGCCTGCAGAAGCAGAGACACCATTTTCCAGGAAGCACCACACGTGAGGGCAGCAGGAGGCACCAGGGAATGAGCACAGTCAGGCTGCACAATGGCAAACACCTCAGTCTATACCAACACCCAATCTCCACCATCACCATCTCCTGGGGTCTCAAAGAACCTGCTGAAAGCAATTAGAAAAAGTTTTCATTCATGTACACCCACAGAATTCCTCTTGAAGGGGCAGGGGCAGAGTGGTGGGCACCACGCTCAAATTCAAGACCTCTCCATCTACCTGGTCTACTTGTGAGGACACTCAGGGACATAAGGTCCTATCATGGAGAGTGCAGCCGGGTAGAGCAGTGGCGCTCACTCACAAGGGAGCTGGGGGACTGCCCAACCGGTTCCAGAGCCGAAAGATGAAAAGGAAGCCACTGGGAGGAAGCATCTTGCTGGAGTGGTCCAGGGAAGCAAGGGGTAGATCCCACTACACCTCACACAGCTTGGGGTTCAACCAGACCTTCAGCAAGGGAATCAGCTTCCCACAGCAGTCCAGGGAGGTGCACTGGGCTGGTACAACAGTCAGTGCTGACACCAGGAAGAGACGCTGAGGAGCAAAACGGGAGACCCAGGAATGGAAGGGTGTAGCCCTGTTCTTCCTTGCTTCCCATTTGGGTTTCTACAACATTTAACACTGTGGCCCTCCAGGTGCCTCATCTCTTCAGTGCTGCTACTCAGGCCTGACAGCAGGCAGGAAGTTCCTTCCATTTCCATCCTACGGTTCTAAGCTTTATTCCTGGGGCGCTTCTTTTCCCACTTAGCCCAGCTGACAGAGTAAACACACACTCGTGCACAGGTACACACAGATACACGCAGGCACGTGGACACATGCATACAATGGCATGAATACCAACAGCAGTGAGTCAGGACCTGCCTGTCTGACAGGTAAGTCTGGAAAAAGCAAGGTACCTTTGTGGAGACTGGAGGCCTCTTCTTTTCTGGATTTTTACTATATATAAAAATTGTAAGGTTGGGAAGATAATTGAGTGAGTGAAGGCCAAGCCCGAAAACCCACGGCTATCCCCAGGACTCGCATGGCACGAGAAAACTGACTACCTCACGTTGTCCTCTGACCTCCACACATGTCCACTGCACATGTGTGCCACCCCACATAAACGTAGTTTTTAAAAATTAAAAATAGATAAAATAAAACATTACCACCTAGTATTGCTGTATTATACTTGAGATTACCACTGTCCACACCTGATTTATCTCCATTTTGAAATTCCTGAATGGTATGGTTTTATAAAGTGAATCATCATTTCTTTATTGGCTGGAGCAAGGCTCACCCAATACAAAGACAGATTATCAAAGTGGACACACACTCTATTTATACCCAGCTGTGAACCCAGGCATCAGACAGTCTGGACAAGAGTCTCAGGGGTCATCATCAAGACATGACCTTCCTCTAGATCCCTTCAAAAGGCCAAGATGGGGCTTCTGCCTTGGCTAGCCTTGCCATCCTGTATGATGGCAGTAGGTCCCTTGATGGAGGGTAGAGGAAGGAGACCTAATCCTACCCCACCTGCTGCTGCCCTGCCCCAGTGCAATGTGAGCCCTGCTCCAAGAAGCAGGGCATGGAGCTGGGGTAGTAAACACAAGGGGTCAGGCCCTGGAGCAAGATTAACTATTCCTCCAGAAAAGGATGCAGTTGAGATGGCTCCTCTGTCCTCCACCAGCTGAGCTAGTTTTAGGATTTCATCTTGGCTGGCTGTGTCAGGGTCATGACTGATTAAGTCACATGCCTTACCAAGTGGTACCCTCCAGGCTACAGGGCTTGGTGAAAGCACTGTGTTGCACACATGCAATCCAGCACTTCTCCCCTCTGGGCCCACGAACTCTGTGGAGGTCACAGGAACACCACAGGCTCAAAAGTCCCCACCCCTCTGTGCATCCCGCCACAGCCCCTTGCCATTCCTATACCACCTTGTTCCTCTACCCAGGAAGTGTCTTATGCAGTGGACACTTATTCTCTGTGTACTGGATGGCAATGAGACAAGCTAAGGTGTGCACAGGCAGCCATGCAATATCCAAGGCAGCCCTCCATCGAGGAGTGATCCCAGGAGACTCACTTGAAATTCTCAGGGTACTCGGTGACAGCCATATTGATGACATCCAGAGCATGCTGGTGATGCTTCTGGGCAGAGAAGAGCAGTGCCAGCAAATGGAGGGCATTGGCATCATCCTTGCACATCGTCAGGGCCTCCTGAAGATGCTCTATAGCGCTGGAGATCTGCCAGGAGAGATGGAGGGTTTAGGATCTTGACCTAACCTCAGATTCTAGTCCATGGAATGGCTCAGCAACTCAAGTGAGCCTGGGGCAAGGCTATTGATAAATATCTCCCATCAGACAAGGGACTCAGGGATCATCATCAAGACATGACCTTCCTCTAGATCCCTTCAAAAGGCCAAGATGGGGCTTCTGCCTTGGCTAGCCTTGCCATCCTGTATGATGGCAGTAGGTCCCTTGATGGAGGGTAGAGGAAGGAGACCTAATCCTACCCCACCTGCTGCTGCCCTGCCCCAGTGCAATGTGAGTCTGGCAAGGGACTTGGGTAGACAAATGCAAGCATTATGAATGAGGAGTAGGAAGCCTTAGGTACAGGCTTAAGCTGCCTGCCACATGGGAAGCTCCTTCCCCTTTGATAACAGGGATCAACAGAGTCCTACTCAGGGAGAAGGTAAGGAACAGGGGGCGCTCCAGGTAGGCAGTGCAGTGTGACCAAAGGCAGGGAGGCTGCAGAGGTGAGTGGTAGAAAGGAGAGAGACAGAGAGAGAGAGAGAGAGAGAGAGAGAGAGAGAGAGAAAGAGAGAGAGACTGTCTTCTAAATGTGGGCAGGGTGGAGCCTCGCTCGACCTTAGGCTTGCTTTCTGTACTTTGTGTTTTTCAACTCAAAAGTTAAGGGTAGTTCCATAGTAAGATTAGATAGGGAGGATGAGGCCAGATCACGTAGGGCTACTTGTAAAGAGTCAGAGAAGCTACCACAGGTGGCTCAAGGGTGAGGCATCCTTCCCTTCAGGTGGGGCAGTATTTCTGGCATGGGTTTGCCTCCCTTCCTGGAGCTGGATGGATGACAGGCTCCCACTGCTCTGAAAACCCTGCAGACCGGCAAGGAAGATGAGACTCCCTGGGCCTGCTGCCTTGCCAACCCTCATTCCTAGCTGCTCTCCTCCATCTGATTCTACCTGGTACCTTCAACCATTGCTCAGCCACAGAGGTCACGGAGTTTGCTGAACTCTCCCCACATGGCCTGGCCTGAGAACCCTTGGCAGGTTCTGGGACACTTCCATAAATATTAAGGAGTGAAAGAAATTCTGATAAGTCACTGATAGAAACACGCTCCTTCAAAGGAGCCTGGGTCATACTGGTGTCCAGCAACTCTTTAACTGTCCAGGGTGATCTGGCAGGTGGCCATGCACCCTCTTTACTAGCTCCTCCTTCTCCAGCAAGGGCAGGCAAGACGGTTTCTTGCTCCCAGCCTACCTGGGGCTACCTGCCACCTGCTGTTTGAATTAAGAGAGTCTTTGGGGGACTACTGGGCTGTTGGGGAAAGCTATACCTTATTTGTGAATTTGAAAGATCTGGATCTCTTGTTGCTGGGAGCTCCTGCTTCCGGGAATTCCATTTCCTACAGGTTAGGCATATGCCTTACCTGAAAGGAACTACACTGACAGGGCACAGCCAGATGGACACACTTCTACACCTTCTAAGCCGTCTGCACAAGCATCCCCATCCTGAGGGGCTGGCACTTCAGCTCTGGTTAGCACAGGCTGCTAATGCTGCACTGGGTTAGTGAGGGCCTCAGGGCAGGCCAGTGGTTCTCACTCTCCCTAACACTGCTTTAACATGCTTCCTCATGTTGTGGTGACCCCCAGCCATAAAATTATTTTGTTGCTACTTCATAACTGTAATGTTGCTAGTTATAAATTGTAATCTAAGTATCTGGTATGCAGTCCCTGTCACAACCCACAGGCTGAGAACCTCTGGTGTAGGGAGGCCAGCTCTCCGTAGGCTGCAGGGTCAGAGTGCTGTAGTAGCAGCCAGCCCATCACCTCCTTCCTTATACTTCAGGAGGTCCAACTCGGCTCAGTTCCCCAGAATGCAGGAGGCTTTTCCCTGTTGCCTTAGTAAATGGTGCCCTCATTGCAAGGCCTGCTTCTGCTGGAATGCCCATCCATTCCTTTGCCCTCCTCTCAGCCACCTGTACCTCCAGTGGTTGTGGAGGCTGTGACTACATAACCAGAAGTGAGACTGGGAGAGACAGGTAGGACGGAGGAGGGTTAGGAAGGCTATCTGCAAACCTAGCACAGACCAGGTTCTTCTGTTATTCTGTTCATGTGTGCCACAGCGGGGAAAACAGCCTTACAGGACACCAATGGAGAAACACCCTCCCTACTCACATCTTCACGGGGCCAAATATTTTGGCTCCAGTGTAGGGTGGAGTGTGTACACCCCATCTACCTCACTGCTCTGCTGTTCTGCTGGTGCCTAGGACAAGGTAGGAACAGCTTTCTGGTCTGCACTTCCTCTGCAGTAGGATGTGGTCGGACAGGCTTCCTGCAGCTGCTTCAGAGGCTGAGGCATGAGACACCCCACAGAGCACCGCCTCAGTGGATTTTACAAAGCCTGTGTTTCCCTCTTAAGCCTCCCAAGACCTCACAACAAAGGAACCTTAGACTCTTCCTGCTACTCCGAGGGCTCATGCTCACCGGCAGCTGCATTAGACTCTGCCCACAACAGGACTTTTTTTCTTTTTTTTTAATGCAGTGTTGGAGATTGAGCCCAAGGCTTCTCATATGGGAAGTATTTGTTCTACCACTGAGTGAGAACCTCACTCACACCAGCCTCATGTGTTTCCAGTGTGCCAGGCCCATCACGCAGTTCCCTTCTGGCCTCTAAGCAGGCCATAGGCACTAAAGTCTAAAACTGTACATAGGTCAAGAAGAGTATAAAGAAGCAGCTAAGATCAGTGTGGCTACCATTGTAGTTTAAGTGACTCTCCAAGGCTGGTCCTGCCCAGTGATTCACCAGAACAGAACCCACTATCCTGGTAGGGGTATCCAAATCCCTAGATAGTATCGCTCAGGGCAGCCAGCCATGCTCTAGGCAGAAAAGCCAGAAGGTAGGGTCACAGCGACCCCAATAGGTGAGGATACTAGCTTAACAGTATACTCAAGGTCCTCAGCCTTCTGAGACTTGAGACCTGGTGTCCCAAGGGAACTGAGCACCAGACTCCACTGGCCTGGTAAGCATTGTTTTGGGAAGATGGGCACTCTTTACCAAAGATGGGTGAATAATTGAACAGATTAAAAAATGCACCACAGAAGGTTTATCATTAACATAATTGGCAAGAAAAGCACCAGGTTCCTTTACAGAAGGTTAAAAATAGAGCTGTCCAGGTAACTTTCCAGAAGCTGAGTGATGTTCCTAGAGGAGAGGCAGAGTGAGTAGGGCCTAGGGCAGGACCTGGGAGTCAGGATCTGGGATATGATGGAAGTGGCTGAGTGATGAATGAGTCACAGGGGAGGAGGAGGAATGAGAGGAAGGGAGAGAAGGAACAGACAGCAGGGCCACTGGGTAGAAAACAGTGAGATAGCAGGATGGAGATGGAGACAGAGATGGGGGATTTAGGGTGACAAGTTAGGCTGGACAGGCACCGCCTGGCTTAGAGTCCGGGTGTAAAGCAAGAAGGAAGAGCTTCCAATGGTGAGATCTACCATTCAGTGAGAAAGCAAGAAAATGTGGGCCCCAGGGGAAGGTGAGGAAGGTAGAAGCAGAGCCCAGGGCGTTGGGGTCAGAGGAAAGAGCTGGCGGAGCAGCTCAAAGGTCGGGTGTGACAATGAGACCAGCCTCCTGACAGGAATCAAGGGTGCTATCTCCAAATGGCCAGGGGCTTCTTAGCTTGGGCAGAGTGGACTTTGGATCAAAAACCCCTGGCTCCACCAATTCCTAGGTACTAAGTTCAGGAGGGCCTTGGCTTCTCAGACGTGGAGTGAGGTCATGTCCCTCCTGGGATGTTTACACGGAGATGAAGCAGCAGCCACTACCAGGGCTACCCTCATTTGCCTATGTATGAATGAATGTGCACCTCTTTTTCCTTGTTTCTTGAGACGGTGTTTGGCAGTGTATCCCAGGCTGGCCTGGAACTTACTCTGCAGCCTAGGCTGGCCTCAATCTTAAGAGTTCTGCCCTAGCCTTCTAAGCGCCAGGATTGCAGGTTGTACCACCATGCCTGGAGCCGCAGACAGGGCCTATGCGGCTTCTCCCAGGCAGCTTGGAGTTTAGCATGCTTCCCAGTGGCAAGAAAGGAGATCTGCACCAGGGCCTCAGGCCACCCACAGTCCCCAAGGGGTCAGGGTGTGTCAGAGTCAGCGTGCACTGGGTCAAGGCCACCAGAGATGCCCAGAGTACCAGCCTAAGAGCTGGAGGGTGCAGGAGGTCAAAAGAGACTCTGAAAGGCATTTGGGGTCCCCTGACACTGAGCTCATGGATGACTAGGAGAAAGGGTGCGTCTACCTGAAGAGCTCTGGGTGGTTGTTTCTGGTACTGATCTTGTTAGGGCAAAGGTGGTTAGTGGATAGAAGGATCCTACTGAACCCTTAGGGCCAGGGCCTGCAATAGTGCCTTCAGGGTCAGGAGAAAGCTTTGAGTCACACGGAAGGCCATCCAGAAATAGCCCCATGTGCCAATCACACTTTCTCCACGTTGGGGATCGGGGGACAACAAATGATGTTGGGGTCACATCCATTTCTCAGGAGACCACAATATTTTAAGAAAAGACAGGGTACAGAATAGAATAACCCTTTCCTGTGTGCCTCCGTAAGTGGGGTGAGATGTACCCACATCGGCCAAATCCTCACAAGACCCCTCACACATAGATGCTCACATTAAGGATCACTGAGGGACAGACAGTCGCACGGAGGAGCTGAGAAGCCCCGCAAATCTGAGGACTAGGAACTGTGACAACACACCTGTCGGACAAGCGCCAGCTGCAGGGAGACATAGAAGATAATCTGAGGGTCATCGGGTGCCAGTTCCTGGGCTCTGCAGGGGAGAGGGAGTCAAAGTCAGTTACTGTCAATTGAAGCATGGCAGCCTTGTGCTGGGTGCTGTGGGCAATGTGGTGGGAGATCCTGCCAGCCCCTCTCAGACGACACAGTGGTTCAGACAGGTCCACAAGCAGCTCATGGTGGAGGACAGTGGCTCAAGGAGAGCTGGCACAAGCTGAGGTAGGGCATCTCTAAGGTGACAGACCTCACAGGAAGGGTAGGCCAGGGATGGGGGAAGAGCATCTGCGAACGGAGCCTGGCTGGTTCGCTATGAGCGAGCGCCTGTCGGCCTGACTATAGCTTTCCTTCTAATGGACATGTGCACTGGCCACTGCCCTGAGGAGGATGCAGGGCCAGAAGTCTTGGGAGTACAACGCTGGTGTGGAGAGGTGGGGAAGTCTCACGTGTTATTCAGGGCTGAAATATTCTGTTTTTCGGTTGGGGAACCACCTAACCCTGAGGGAGGCCGATGTGTCACATGCTCCAATCAAAGTGGTACAAGGACTCCTAGCCAGGTCTTCCCCAGTAACAGCCCTGTCACCTCAGTGTGGGGGATTGGGGCTTAGAGCAACACATAAATCAGGCCAGGGAGGCAGGCCCAGGTGGGCTGGGTCTGAGCAAGGTAGGACCTGAGGAAGGAGCTTTATTGCCTTCTTTGCTCCCGGACTCCAGGAAATCTCTGTGAGGTTGTGGCTGGCAGGTTCCTGCAGCTCTGATGTGGTCAGGCAGGGGCTAGAAAGACATCATGGTCCTCAACCTTCTTAAGGCTGTGATCTTTTAAGACAGTTCCTCATGTTTCGGTGACCCCCAACCATAAAATTATTTCAATGTTACTTTATAACTGTAATTTGCCACTGTTTGGAATCATAATGAAAATATCTAGGATTCAGAACATCCGATTTGTGACCACCAAAGGGATGGTGACCCACAGGTTGAGAATTGCTGCCGAATTGACTGTTTTTCCTATCCTCAGTCAAGTTTCACAACACCAGAGGAAGCCTGAGAGCCTAGGAGCAAGGGTTGGGCCTGGAAGCTGAGGTAACCCAGCTCAGAGCTTGGGTCAGCTCTGAGGGCCAAGTCACCTGACCACAGCAACTCACCCCTGCCTGCTGGGTGACCTCTTGGCAGTTTGGTTTCCTTAGCCATAGAGGGAGACAGAAACATCTGTTTCAGAGTGTGAAACTTCACTGTGGAACCCTCCATTTTATCACTCTGTGTGCGAAGAAGCAAAAGGCTGGGTAGGGGGTGTCCTTACCGCTCAAGGGTCTCCAGTGCCTTGCGGTGAAGTTCATCTTGCTTGGACTTCAGCGTGGCTGCAGGAGACACGATCAATGGAGGGGTCACTAGAGAAGTACAAATCTCTCCCTGGCCCATCCCCAAGGCACAGGAACTCTGCAGGAAGGAGCCAGCCCATCAGAGCCCTGTTTGCAAACCTCAGGCTCCAGTGACAGGGCACGAGGCACAGAAGACTACTGTGGCAGAAGCAGACTAGAACTAAGGGAGTGGTGACCACCTCAGCTCAAGCAAGGATGACAGTACCTGAAGCTCCCATGACTTAGGGTGTGAGGGGCAGAAGACAGCCAGTACCAGACGGCCCCATATGGCTTCATGGGTCCCTTGTGGCTACACACAGGGGCTGGTACTAGGAGCCATGGTTGAAGCCCAAGTGGGCTTCATCACTCCCTCCCTTCCAGACTTCAAGGACACAAGATAAGGAGTCAGTCTGCTCAAAGGCACAGGGCTAAACAAGAATAGCTTGGGAACAAAACACGAGGCCTGGGACAAGAAGGATGAGAACCATATGAAACTCCTGTAGGTATTTGGGACTGTCAAGCTTGAGGATTTCAAAGACCCTAGAGGATTGCTGCAGAGCTGAGCGTAAAGGCAGGACTGGCAGGAGCAGAAGGAAGCCACTGGGGCAGTGGAGGGCTGATGGCACTGCACACAGGAAACAGTGCAGACAGGCTGGGCAGGACCTACATGGTGACAGAGCTGGGGTCCATGAGGAGGAAGGGCACACTGGTGGTTGTCTGAGCAAGAGTGGAACCTCTTGGAACTAAGGGACATGTGTGTGTGTGTGTGTGTGTGTGTGTGTGTGTGTGTGTGTGTGTGTAGTGTATATGCATGCACACATCCCAGAGGAGTGCTCACGCCTGTGGGGGTGAGGATAGATCACTAGTGGAATGAGATGCCTGGGAAGCAGCCGGGAAACCTGAGGCAACATGCACAGGCAGACTGCTCTGGGCCTTGGCACTCACCATCGGTGGCCTGCAGGCTATAGGTGAGACCCAGGGCCAGGTAGCCTTTAGGCAGGAACTCTCCTGCTTCCTCTCCAAGGCCAATTACCACCATGGCAAAGTGTTCCGCCTCTTCCAGCTGCAGAGAACAGAGGTAGTGGTCACTGGGTGGGCTTTGCTGTCCCAGGTAGGAAAGGCAACACAACGTGAGACACTGTCAGCTGTAGGCACAAACGGAACAGTTCTTCGAACTGGAACTGTAGGCAATGCAACTTATCCAGAGCAGAAGAGGCAGCTGTTTGCTCTACCAGGAAGTGCCTCCCTGGACCTGTTCCCCTCCAAGGAGCCAGTGTGCTCAAGGTCACAAGTGCCGATCTTCCAGAGAGACACTTGCCCTGTCTGGGAGAAGTGTCCCCAAAGCCTGCTGTGCTGAGAGCATGAACTCAAAACAGGCCAGTATGTGTGGCTCCCTCCCCACGTGGTCTCTGTAGGGCCTGCTCAGCAGACAGAGGGGAGCCAGGGTTGGTGCTGGGCCTTGGGAACATTTATCTGTTGACCATGGCCAACCCTGCAGAGTAGGCAGGCTGCCACACAGGCTAGTCTAGAGCTTGCTCCCTCCCTTCCTCAGCAGGAAGCCAGGGAGCTTAAACATTCAAGGGAAAAAGGCCTTGGGCTGTTTTTGTCCTGGGAGCAGGGGGACCAGTCTAGTTGGAAAAGGCCCAACTGGCACAGCCATGTGGACACACATAGTCACACACAACATGGGACACAGGAGAAGGCACATGAGGAGGAATTTATGGATACTTTGTGGCACCCATAGTTCTGAGGCTGGCTGGGGTGTACAGCTGGGGCTAAGACTGTGCCCACTCTCATGTGTCTCCACCAACTCTCCCCTAGGTACCTCTGACCTATTAGGTACAGAGCACAGCCATACATATCACCCAGAATACTGGCTCCCAAGGAACCTAGGGCTGCTTCCTGAGTTCAGCATCATCCTCCCACTCACACATTACTTCCACACCACAAGACAGACATCCATGCCCCAATCCCAGGTATTCCCCCCAGCCACAGGTAGTCCAGCAGTGAGATTCACACTCACATTGGCTTCCAGCCATGCCCAACCCTGCTCACATCCCAACTTGATGTGGTTTCCCCAGCACGAGTAGGTAAATTTGACTGCTGGCCACAGCTAGGGAGTGCGCAACTGGTAAGGTCCCTCTCCCTGGGTTGTGGTGGAATTGCCCAAGACATAGGCTAATAGCCATGGATCAGTGAATGGGAGGAATCCCTAGTGGACACAGCTATGAGGAGGCATGGGCAGAAAAGAAAACAAACAGAACTCCTATAACCTGAAGGAGCTGAGTACCCACTGCTCAAAAACCAAGAAAATCCATGAACACACCACGTGCCTACAGGGCTAACACTATTTTGAGTTCTGATGCCACCCACAGAGCAGGCTTTCTGCATGTGAATTCATGGCCTTAATCATGAAGGAAAAATAGTATTAATCCTAAGTTCATTAATGTACAATAATTACACATGGCATTAATAGACATGGGTACTTTAGCTAGCAAATGGGGAGAATGCCATTACAGCAAAAATGAAAACTAAATAAAAACAAACCGTTTTTATTAGGCACCTCTGTCTCCGTCTAGAGCAGGTGTGGCAATCCAAAAGCTTTAGAACTTGGCTCTGCCACCCTGGCTCAAAAGTGTTAGGACCCCCGCCAGGCTCAGAACTAGCTCCTGACTCTCAAGTCAGCTGTCTTCGCAGAGGGGCAGTGCGGTGATGAGGACGCAGTGCAGCACATGGCCTGGGCTCTCGTGCTCTGAGGTTATCTTGCGGGCCTCAGTTCCCGCTTCTGTACGCTGGGCACAACAGTGTCTCCCTCAGGGTGCTGCCGGGAGGACTGATGCAACCACATGGTGAAGCTCTGTGTGCTCCACTAATCAACTAAGATTGATAGCAGTGATTATATCTAATGTACACATATGCCACAGTTACTCTGCACATATGTGTGCATATGCATACATCAATCACACATCATCTTGCTGAAAAAGTTGCAAAAGGCATCAAAGGACCTTTGGGATCCAATGGAGGACACTAGTGCTGCTTGCATTCTGTCTCTGGGCCTGGTGCTCATCCCAGAAAAGCAATGATTACACAGGACAAATGGGCACCCCACAGTCCTGCCCAGTCCGCCGTGCAGGCTCACTCTCTTCAATCCAACTGAGGTCAAGGATACATGCAACCGAAGACCTCCCACTGTCGCCCTCACCCCTTGCACAGGCGACAATAAATCGGCATTTCCCACCCTATTCTCTAAAGTGTTCTATTCCATAACACATTGAGTCTTGACCCATGTTCTGAAAACGCTGTTTCAGTCTGATGGTTCCGAGCCGCCCAACACTATTTCTACCAAGTACCCTTGGCAGCCTCCTCCTGCTGGGGATGCCAGGTCTAGACTCCAGACACTTCCTCTTATGGCCTCAAATCTAGCAACCAGTGATCATTCTGGAGGCTACTGTTTCTGCCACCTGCTGAGGGGTTCCCAGGGTTGTCTCTTCCCCCTCCCTTGCCATGACACTGTCTCATCAGGAGCAGCCAGGTGGCCATCGCCACCTAGGGAAGGTCCTCCCTGCCTCTGTGATTCTAAGCAGCCTGAAGCCTGACAGCCAGCCATAGTGCCACAGCAGGAGCTTAGGAGGCACAGGGACCTTGTGTGAGAACCCCAACCCCACGGTCAGCCAGTCAGCAAGTGGTAGAACTGTGACTCCAACCCAGGCAGGTCTGAGGGGTTCACGGCTACCCTCTGGGCTTTCTCAGTTTTCTCCTCTGATGCTGTACAGGGTAACCCTTCGATGGTTTGGTTTTGCTCTTCGTAAGTAAGGAAACACTCTGTGCTTTCCCGAGTTCTTCTGTCTCCAAGGGCTTCCTAATTTGGTTCCGGCACAGCAGCCTCAGAGCTGAGCTGGCACAGTTGCTGGGCTCAGGGCTGCCTCCAATCTCTGGGTAGCCTCATTCACCTGCAAAGAGGTCGGGCCTGATTCTCCAGCCCCTTCCTCTCTTCCCAGGGACGGGAGAGTGCCCCTTCCTGACGCTGCAGGTTTCTCTTGAGCCCCTTCCTATAGGGTCTGGAACTGTTCTGTGGGAAATCTGCTTTTTTTTTTTTTTTTTCCTTCAGGGAATAACAGACACTTTCAAACCTCTACAAGATGGTTACAAGGGAGCTACTATTCTTCCCTGCTCTGTGAGTAATCCATCTTCCTGGGCTTGAAAAATGAAAGCAAAGACATTTCCTTTCTAAGTACTTATTATTTTGAAAGTGTTGTAAAAAAATAATGGCAACCATTTGTCACATCCCTGCAATGTGCCACACAGAGAACACCACCTCACAGCCACCCTGTGCGCATGCTAGCTCCCAGATTATAAATGAGGAAACTGAGGCACACAGAGGCAGTCACTCCTTCAAAGTCATACAAGCTCGTGAGTAGGGTGGACTGGAAGACTCGAACCCTATTGTTCTCCACAGCCTATGCTCTTTCCGGTACCCGTGCTGCTTCCTCAGGGGAAATAGACCCCATGAGAGACACGTTACAGGCCTCTGCATAGCGAGCTCACCTACGCCCCACTTCACAACCCTTTCCGTGTCTGTGTGGCATACAGTATACAAGCATGCCCGTCCTCTATGCCTCCTGAAGGGGTTCCCACTTTTAAAAGTAAATCAATTTAAAATATGTGTGTTTCGAGGGAGCCAAGAAACTATCTACATCTTTTCTATCTGCTCCCCAAACCTACCTATGGCCAGAGAAAGTGGAGGGGGTTCTTGGTCAGAAGCAGGCAGAAGAGGTGGAGTCCTGAAGAGCAGGGCACAGGCTCTCACCAGTACCCGTCACTGGCCTCAGGAAAAGACATGGTTCTACCCTGGAGAAGCACAGAGGCTCACACTACAGTTCAAGCCACATCCAAGGTGGAGCTGATAGCTTGCCAGTTAGAGCACTACCTGCTCTTCAGGAGGATCTGGGTTCGATTCCCAGAACCTATATGGTGTTTCACCTTATGGTAACTCCCATCCCAGAGAATCTGACGCCCTTTTCTGGCCTTTGTGGGCATTGCACACACAGTACACAGACATGCTTGCAGGGAACACAGTCACACAGAATAAAAACAAAGGAAAAATAACTTAAAGAAATGGAGTGGGAACTGGGTGGTGGGTGGTGCATGCTTGCATGCTGGGAGGCAGAGGCACCTGGATCTCTGTGAGTTCAAGGTCAGCCTGGTCTACAAAGCAAGTCCAGGACATCCAACGCTACAAGGCTACACAAAGAAACCAACAAATAAACAAACACAAAAGAGAAAGAAAGAAAAAGAAAGAAAGGAAGGAAGAAGGAAGGAAGGAAGGAAGGAAGGAAAGAAAGGAATGGAGTGTAGGTGGGGGAGGAGAGAGAGCCATGGAAGCATCCAAGTCAGGAAGGCTGCCCACAGCCACTGGAAGCCACCCTCATCCCTACTCACCTAAAGAGCCCTGCTCACCTGATTCTCACTTCCCTGCCAAACTCTGACCAGCCAACATTCAAATGTTTTCAGTTCCTGGTAACAGCTTGCCCTTCTCCCGTTTTTCTGATGACAAGTCTCCATGTTTAAGCTTCCTTTTGGGCTTTTCTATTTATGTTGTCATTGATTACTTTGCTCCTAACTCATCTGATTTCAATTTGGACTGATTTGATCCTAATTTTATTACCATGTAATCTGAATGCACATAATCACTGTAATTATGCTGCGGAGGGAAACAGCTTCTTCATGGTGGGAAGACCTAAATTTAGGGCTTCCTGGCAAGGGCACCATTGGCTGGGTGGACTCACAGCTCCTTGGAGCTGGCAGCTCAGGGTAGCACACATGCCCTCCCCAGCCCTGCTCCCAGAGAACGGGTATTTTGGGTATCATCTAAGGGATCAGCCCAAGGTTCCCTCTCAGAAGCCCTGAAGAAGGAGTCTGAGCTGGGGGCTGCGGGCTGGGAACTCAGCCCTCTGCACCTTCAGCTCCCAGCAGCCTTTGCTGCAAGAGTGTGGCCTGGGACTCTGCAGACTGCAGCTGCATGCCACCTACAACAAAGTGAGAGCTACTTTGGATCTAGAATGCAGAGGAAGGAATGGGGGCTACTTAGCCTGCTGGAGAGGATATGTGGGGTACAAGATGACAAGTGAGAGGGATGAGGCCCTGTTCTGTCACTCAGGGTGTAGAAAAAGGACTCTCCCTGACATCGGGAAGCTCACTGGGACCAAGAAAAGTGACGGTTATCAGGATATAGTTAGCAGTTAGAGCAAGGATTAGTGTAGTACTCTCAGGGTCCAGTGCCTGGGTCTGATCCCATCAAAGGCATGGGACTCAGGGTTCCAGGCCCTGTGTTCTCATTGCTTCAAGCTGCTGACCTTTTGGGGAGACCTCCACGAGCCCCCAGTAAAGGCCTTCAGCTGAGGAGAAGTACCCTTTGAGCTATATTCTCCTAACAGCTGCCCCAGCAGAGAGTGGGGAGCTGGCCGCAGGACCCAGGTAAGAAGATGGGCTGCAATAAGAACAAAGAAGGGCTGCAAGGAGGTGACCTCTATTTTGTGTCAGGCTAGGGTTAACTTTGACCTCTCCCGTTCTCTCTTTACTATGAAGTCATCTGAAGCCTCCATTCTAATGGGCTGGTCTAACTCTGAGGTCTTGCTTATCACCCCCACTACTTCCCATCTGTTTGACTCTCTGGAGATCACATTCAAAAGTTGAACCACAACCAGACAGCATCCTAACTGGGTCCATGTTGTCAAGATCGAGGTTAGTGGGTCCTCCTGTTCCTACACAATGGTGGCATCTTTCTTCATTGCACACCCCCCACCTTATTCTCACCTGCTGGTTATTGAATCTGGGCTCTGCCTGCCCTACCCCCACAGGTCACTCACCCAGTGCAGGGACCCAATGCAGACCTTGGCAGCCATCAGGGGCACCGTGGGGTCCGAGGGCTGCAATTTCATGCACTCGCGCAGCAGCGACACAGCGTAGGCTGACTGCAGAAGAAAGAATAGGGAGCACAGTCACTGGCCACCCCTGTCTCCATAGTCTTCAGTGCCTCAGGGGTAGTTCTCCCAACAGTCCTCGCTCTGTATCCCTTTCCTTCTAACAATCAGGAAGAGAGCGCTGGGAGGAGTCCAAGTGATATTCACAGCAGGAGAGTCCTCCTCTCCAGGAGTGAGTGACAACAGCTTACATGATAACAGACAAAAAAGACTCAGATGAGAACCATGCAGATCAAAGAAACAGCCAGGGGCTCTAGACCTGCACTCCGAGAAGAGAGGTAACAGGAGTGGACAGATGGACAAAGGCTAGAAGGTGAGACAGTGGGAGGCTCAGAGAGAACCTCCAGACAAGAAGCTGAGGCCCCACAGGACTCAACCAGGATTTGCTGAGGAGAGAGGTGGAGAGGGTCAGAAGGGAAGTGCATCCAGGCCCAGACACCCATTCCACTTACGAATGACAGATAGTGCTCCAGATCTTTTTCTAAGTCAGGGGCTGCCTAAAGACCCTACCAGCTGAATCGAGCCCACTGTCCAGTTTTATAAATATGGTCTAATTGGAACTCAGTCATGCCTATTCGTTTATATAACTGCCTGTAGCTGCTGCATGATGCCACATTAAAGTAGAATGGCTGAGACAGACTGGCTAGGAATAGTCAGTTGAAACTGACTACTGCCTGGCCCTTTACAGAAAGTTTGCTGACTTCTCTATGAGTGTGTTGGATTTTTACAACATTCCTACCAGACAGGCACCATTACAACTAGGAAAACAGCTGAGCAGTCCAGCAGCTTGTTCAAAGCCACATAGCCAGTAAGTGACCAAGAAAGGGTTTAAACATATTCTGGGTCTCTTAAACACTACCCTATGTGGCCTCTGTGGCGATGACCTTGGCCAGGGAAAGCTGGTTTCCTGAAGAGAGAGAGGGTGTGCATGTGTGTGTGTCCGTCCAGTCTGGAACCTTCTGCCTTCTGAAGCCAACATTTTCTGAGGGAAACTCAACAGTAACTCTCTTGGTATGTAGGCTCCTAAGCACCTGTGACCTTCAGGTACATGTGTGTAAGTAGACAATTACCATGCTCTGGGTCCTACTGTGGGCTGAGCTCCTAACTTGAACTTAGCAACTCTGGGGGTGCCACTAAGGAGAGGAGGGTCCTGGCAGGCTCCTCTGCCTGCAGTACGCAATGCCTGGAATGTGTGCATCCTGACTCCCTTTACCTCTCTGTTCCCCACCATCTATGGAAGAACGTTCTTCCACCCAGTGTTACAGATTGCCTTGGGCTGTGACTAACCTATGCTTTGCATACATTTTCAGTGTGTTCTCCAAGAATGAATGTGCTGGCGGCTTCATCCTTGGACTGGTTAGCCCTGAGGAGTAGAACCATGAAGAGATGGGTCTCGTGGGAGATAGTTTATGGTCATTGTGTGTGCCCTAAATGGACTGGATATTTTCATAGTTCTTGCATGCAATGAACGAGGCTTGCACCTTCCTGTCTGGCTTTTGCTATACAATTTCTCCCACTTGTATACAATTTCGTCATGTTATCTACCTTGAGGTGGCCAATGCTGGCACCTTCTCCTTGAGCTCCAAAACTATGAGACAAATATGCTTCTTTTCACCATAAATTCTTCAGCCTCATTTGTTTTATTATAAGTAACAGAAAACAGACCATGATACTAACTACAGGTATCTTCATTCAGGGCCTCTTCTGGGCTCAGTACCGGGCTGGGATAGTGGAGTCAGATAAGAGGAGAGATGAGACCTCTAAAGAGATCACAGGCAGCGGGGCAGCAGAGAAGACAAATGCCAACATCCACTAGCTCTCTACAGACACAGGAGGGTAGGACAAGCACAAAGCAAAGGACAGAAAATGGCAGGCCGCAGGCCTAACAGGAGTGCAGCAAGGAAGGCTGTGTGAAAGCTGCCAGGGCCCACCTCCTCAGAGACCCTCTCCTGGGAATGCCACACTAAGTCCCTCACTACTGTCCCTCGAGCCACAAACCCCAGCAAGTCTCAGGCTTCCCCTCGGCTTCCCGTTGGGCTGCTGACCTTTGCATCCTAAAAACACAGGATTCTCTAGTCCTGACCCTCTACAGTCCACCCACTCCTTCCCACCCGACTCCCACGCAGACCAAAAAACACTGCTATTTAAGGAGCCATCTGAGGACCCAGCAGTAGGAGCAGCCGGCTTCTTTTTATCCCCCTGTCAAGCTGGTTACCTAGCAACGCAGCCAATGCAACTGCCGTGTGGAGACCAAGAGAGGGAACGACCTAAATCATGCCACAGAACTCATCCGTTATTCCTGTGGGGTAAAGCACCAGGCATATTTATATCTGCCCAGCTGTACCTTCTGGAAGGTACAGAACCTGGATTCCCACCTTGGGCTGAGCAAAGGCAAACTCTGGCCACGAACTCCTCTGAGGACTGCTAGGACAGTCAGGCAAATGGTTTTGGCATGCAGTATTCCCCGAGGGGTTGAAGAATGCCTTCTAGAACAATCTCCCCGTGCACTGAGTGTGTCAGTGGGTGGAGCCCAGTGCCTGCAGCCTGTGGAGACTCACATGTAAAGAATTCACTAACCACTCCAAGTCCCTATGCCCACCTTGCTGGATCATAAAGGAACCAGAGTAGGAAATGGCTTCTCAGAGGCTGGAAGGGTGCCAGGTGGCCTGGGCCTCTTTGGGTCCAGCTTGCCCATGAGAAGGTGAAAGACCCCACAAATGTGGTACCTTTCTTTGAGGCCGGGGCCTCCAGGAACTCCCTCCAAATTAAAGCTAATTTTCATGGATAGTTTTTGTTTTGTTTTAAGGGGGTAGCTTAAAAAAAAAAAATCCATAACCCACAGAACAGTGCACTGTTCTAGGCCTTTCTTCATCTCTGCTATTCTAAGGCTAAAGATGTTTCCTGTTTGGGGGGGGGCAGGAAGAAGCTGCTTGATGCTCCTGTATGCATCGGATCCACACAAGTTCCAGCCACAGCTCCCCAGCCTACAGTTACTACCTACTCCTGCCTTCACATGCTCCACAGCTTCTTCTGCTTATTCTTTTGGGCCCCTCCCCTTAGTCAAATTTTCCCCACTACCTGCTCCTTAGGAGAATCTCCTCTAATCCTGCAGGGCCAGCCCTGTCTGAATTCTGAATTCTCCTTGAGCTTTGACAGCACCCTGCAGAGCAGAGCCAGCAGGTTTTGCTGTGACTTCAAAGATGCTCTGGGAGATGGCCATGCGATGGAGAAGGACTGAGAAGACAGATGCCCAGCAAAAGATACCCAAAGAGACTCCCTGTCAACTTTGGCTGTGCTCTGCAGCCTCTCCCTGCCAACAGTCTGACAAGAACGCGGCACCTGGTCCTCCTCCCCCTCCCTGCCAGGCCCTGGCCTGTCTTACTGCACAGACCTAGAGCTGGCTGGCACCCCTCCATCTGCGGAGGCGGCACTGGTACACTGGGAGGGCCCTCCTCAGAGACGGCTGTGGGGCTAGAAATGGAATGTGGCACAGATGGGCCAGGGGGCGAGGGATTCCCTCAGCCCCATGAAAGGGCCCTGGGTATTTACAGCTCTTGGAACCATCTGCAAGCTCATGCCACCTTATTTCCTGCATTCATAGCATCCTTAGCCCCATCTCCCTCAGCCCCCAGCTCCGGAAAGGTTTTCCTTTCATGTCGCAGCTTAAAATAGACACTTACATAAGTGTAGTTCTGATCTGAGGGAAAATCAGGGGTGCAGGAGAAGGGGCTGGGCAGATGGAGGCTGAAAGCCTACCCTGGGGCTGCATGCTCTAGGCAGCCTCTTCTGTTGTCCCCACCCAGGTGGGGTGCACCCATCACATAGTTTCCCCTCCAGACTCCCCTGTGAGTTGGCACGTTCCCAACCCAGAACTATTTGGGGCAGGACCAGTGTTCCCCTCTCCTAGAGCCACACCGGCAGAAGTGCTGCAATACTATTGTGGTGGACCACAGGAAGAAAGAAGCACCCAAACTCACACCTGCATGTGAGCACACTCACCGCCACTAGCACATGACTATAGGGCCTTCCCTGGTCATCCCAGAGCCATCCCAACCAACACCAAACTTCTCCAGCACCTAACTCACAGAGACTCCTGCTCTTCACCTCCAGGAGGGACCAGAGCCTCCACAGCCCTGGGCCTTACCTTCCCACAAGCCACCATGGAGAGGGCCACTTGGTACCAAAGGTGAAATTCTCCAAATGCATACTTCATGGCTCGCTCTAGGCACTGCGGAGGAAGAAGTAGTCAGCACTGCCCCACCAGAACCCTCCCCAGCCATCCCAGTCCCTTACAGTGTAACCTAAGTCACTGCCTTCAGAAAGCAGCAGGAAGCTCGTGCCCCTGCCACGGCACCCACTGTAATGCTGTCTCACCCTCTGTGGTCCTCTGCTCCCTGCTCCTTAATACGTGAATGATTTCACGGGGCTACCTTGACTTGCAAATGAAATAAGGTTTGTGAAATAAAAATAACAACTAGTGCTTATCATCGTGGGACGTGGTGGGGCTCTCAGTTTGTTACATGTGCCTACTTTACTTACTCCTCCTAACCACCCTAAGGTAAGATCTCTAATTGCCCCCATTGCACAGACTCTGAATCTGTGAATGAGGTTAAGGTCACAGGGCTAGAAAGGGCCAGGCCAGCCTGAGCAGAAAATGGCAAGTGATGAAGAACCAACGGTCACGTCATGTGGTTTCCTTCATGAACTGCCAAAATCCCAGGAAGTGGGGTCGGCTGAGTGGCTGAGCCTACCTCAGAAAGCATGACGTACTGGCCCCGCCTGCCCAGTGTTATGCTCAGGAGGTCATAGATGGCCGAAGCATTCTGCAAGCTCACTTTCCGGTCCTCTGCCTGCTCCGGTGCCCTACTCAGTACCACGTCCCGAGTTGCCTGTGGGTAAAATGTGGTTTCGGAGAGATGGTGGGGATAGAAAATAAGTACCTAGCCTCAGCAGGCCCATCTTGCAAACCCACTCACGGTCACATTTCACTGCTACCCACAAGCCAGGTGTCTGACCACACTCTCAGAAACGGCCTCTCCTATCCCCACAAAGCTTTCTCCAAAGAAAAAGAAACTCTTGGTCCAGGAGGAGGGAAGGTCATCCTAAGGCTCAAGGTGCTAGCATTCATTTCGGAACGCTGCAAGAGTTCAAACCTACAAAGAAGTTGCAAGGACAGTACTCTGGCCACATGCCTTTCACCTGAATGCATCAATGTTGACAACTCAGCACCCCTGCTTTGCTTCAAGCATGATATTACTTAAGTTTCTCTCATTAATGTTCATATTCTGCCTTCCAGGAGGAGCGAACCAATCACAGTAGTGTTGGGCCCTCTGAGCAGCAGCAGGACAGGGACATTCTGGGGTCTGAAATGACTCTCATACACTCCCCAGGCTGCGATTGGCAAAGCTGAGATCTGGCCCCACACTCCTGCTGATGACTCCCAGCATCCTCCTCTGACCCCTCTCCTTCACCATCCCTGTCTGAGCCTGCTCTGCTCCCCAGAGGCTGTCAATCAAGGACTGGCCTGACAGGTAGAACAGAGGAGCTGCCGACCCCGAAACTTTAGTATCCCACCAGACCCAAGGTCTCATCCTGTCCACAGGCCTCTTCACTGCCTCCTTCTGCTCAAAGGCCCCTCCCTCCTGCAGGCAGGGGGCTGAAGCTCCCATGGACCAGTGGGTGGGGAGACAGAAACTCCACTCCTTGGGGGTCCTAGGCTGAAATGTGTCCCCTAGTCCCAAAGAACTAACACCTTAGAGGCATCTGAGGCAGGAAGAGAATCTGGCAGCCATGGACCTATACAGCTGTCCTTTCAGCCAGAACAGTGATCTGTGTTCCTCCTCAAGAAACACAGATGGCCCTGGAGAGGATGCCTGGGAGAGGGTACCAGGAATGGCAGGAAATCCTCAGAAAGATCAATTAGCCAACCTGTAAACCTAGCCAGGAACTGCAAACAGTCAAGGAAGGGAAAGTGCCAAGAAATCCCTCTCCCTCCCAGTGAAACCCACCCACACAGCCATGTGGGAACATAGCCTGTGCCTCATCCCTAGTAATGTACCTCCCCCTCCTCCCCCTCCTCCTCCACCTCCAGCAGCTCTTAGCTCCAGGCAGTGGTGGGGAGGGAATGAGGAGGTGAAGAACAGATTCAGGAGGGGGCTGCAGGACATATCTGCACAGGTGTACTGCAATCTGGTAGGAGGAAGAAATCAGGCCAGGCGCTCTGTGGGGGCGGCATCTCCTGAGGCAGAGGGAGCCTCGCAGGGCACGTTCAAGGACTGGGGAATCCACCCTGCATAGGAGCCATGTTTGGGGGTAGTGAGGCGGGCACGCCCTACAACCTCCCATCTTCAAGGCTCAGTCTGGTCACTGTGCTGTTCTTGTGTCAGCCTGCTGGCAGCTCCCAGCTCGGAAGGCTGCTTTTCTATAGCCGACCACCTCCGTTTCCCTGGCACACACCAGGTCCTGGCAGCGACAGCTGGCTCATCACTCCTTTCGACAGGGCATGCCATTTCTAGACCAAGATCCTTGAACACAGAACTCTATAAATCCACCTTTGTAGAGCAAGCAATACCCTGGGGAGACTGCTCTGGGCTGGCATAGAAACTGCTTCCTGTGTCTACTCTAGAACTTGCCCTCTAAGAGGACAGGCCTTTGGGTGTGTCTAGTGGGAGGGAGGGGTGGATTTCCAGAGCTGGGTGTTATCAGGGAAAATGAAACATAAGATAGGGCAAGTCCTCAAGATGACCTGCCCCTCGACCTGCAGACAGTAAGGGCATGCTCTTAAGGTCCATCGAGCTTTTGTGCAAGAGGGGAACAGAGTTCCCATGGGAAACCAGAAGTAGGTTTCTGCCCAGCTGTTACCATGACTTTGGGGGCAGCATTTAAAAAACAAACAAACAAACAAAACACACACACACACACACACACACACACACACACACACACACACATGCTGGGCTTGGTTGCTGGGCAGTGCCTGTGTATGTAACCATGGTAATGGGGTTGGGTGGGGAAACTGGAGCAGAAAAAAAAAAAAAAAAAGGAAGTCCTAGGTGCTAGCTAGTGAGCCACAAAGGAACCTGAATTCATGTGTGGCTCGGGAGCCAGAACAAACCTCAGAGGCAGGGGGTACTACAACTAGGCTCGCAATTCTCTCCCCAGAAGCTTTCCCAGCCTTCCCCATCCCTCTTCTTCCGGCTTGCTGCCCTTAGGCCACAGAGGTCCACAGACTTCACAAGTAGCTGGTCTGGAGTTAGTCTCAGCCACATTCTTTCCCTTTCCTGTCTGTGTACACGGCCTCAGATGCCTGCTTTAATCAGGAAGACTTCAGATCCAGTGAAGGCTTCCAGATCCAATGCAGTAATGCGAATGCACTTGCTAGAGTAAACACAGCCACTGGCCTGCCATCTCACCATCATCCTCTGCGGTGCTCTTGGGATAAAGGTGACTATTCTCCCTGGGCTTTTCCCTGCCCACCCTGCCTACCATGAACTGCTGTGACTCCTACACCCAGCCTTTGGCTCTTGCTGTGGGAGGCTCTGTCCTTATTTAAGCCAAGCATATGATCCTTAGGCAGAACGCCCCAGAGGGGTTCCTATTCCTCACTGTTGTCCCTCTAGTGGTTCTCCTGGGATAACTTCACTGAGACTAGAGCTTTAGACTGCCAAGAGTCCAGCCACATTCCCATCATGTAGCAGCTCTATATCCCCAGCAGGACCCACCAGTGCTCTTTGGACAAATGTCCCTGACACAAATACAGGAATCCTCATTTCCTCAGGCAGGCACAACTCTTACTGAGGCACCCCCTCTAGGTGTAGGACTTCCATTGCCCTCTCAGAAAGGGAATTCTCACACCCATCAATTTATCTGGCCCATGAACCCAGACAGCAGTAGAACAAGTATAACCTTCCCAGCAGAGGACTCGAGACCCTGAAGATTAATGACTAAGGGCCAGTCCAGGCCCTGATGCTTTCCCAAACAACAGTAGATTATTCTGGCAGTTCCCAATGTCTACTGGATGTGGCTCAGCTGGCACTGATCTTCACCTCTGCCCAGCTCGGTCCTCTTAACCCTGAACCCAGATAGAATTCCCATCCAGGTGGGAGAACGCTTTCTAAGTCAGTCCCACAACCCCCTTGCCTACTCTCATCCTACTTCAGGGAAGACCGAGGGAGGCCGGGTAAGGGGACTGATACACAAAGGGCAGAAATTCAATGAAACCCACATGGTCTGATTTCACCCCAGCTGCTCCCCTGATTCCAGGTTCCTCAGCCTAAGTGTCCGGTAGTCTTGACTGATACCATCGGAGGCCTTGGGCTGGCTTTGCTGAAGGAACCAAAGCAAAATGCAGATAGAGTCTCCCCAGTCAAGTCTTAGGTGCCATCTCCTTGTGAAGAACGGGTTCCTGACTCAAGATACCCAAAGCCCTGTTCAGAGGCTTCATAGACTCAGCCCCTCCATCAAGCAATGGAACCTTTTGACCAGCTGCTGACACCCCAGAAAGAACCATCTGGGAAATGTGTGCCCAGTGATGCTCCCCTCCCTGGAGGACACTGTCACGTTTGGCTCCTGCTGGTGACCCCCACTCGGCAGACATAATTACCACCAGCTCTTGAGCTGCCAGTCCGCCGAGCCAAGAGTGACCATGCTCTGGGACAGCTTTCATCTACCCAGCGACACCTTCCCGTGGCAGATGTCACAGTCTTTCTGTCATGGGTACTGAGCCATGGGTTCTGAGCTGGCAGCCTCCTGTAGGGCAAGGCCTCGTGTTCGAGCAACCAGGAGCCAAAAGCCAGGATGCGATGTCTCATCTGCTGAGTCCCATTTGGAAGCACACCTAGGAAGCCCCTTTCTTTGAAACAGACTAATACCTTCAGCCTCCCAACTAGATTAAAGCCTACAACGTTTTCAAGGGCAACTAAGTCAGAATCAAGCCTTCCGACCCCAGGACAAAAACATGCACTGAACAACCCAAACACATGGCTTTGTGTTCATTTTCTTACTTAAACCAGCCAAACTCTTTCCATGGAGGCTTTATTAACTCCATCTTACAGACAAGAAAACAGGGAGAGAAGAATATTGCTTAGCTATAGATGACAAGTACAAGATCCACACAGCCACGGGCCTGGTTCTGGCACAACACAGAGCGAGTTTGTTAAGGTGCAGGGCCCCAGTCCTCAGAGATACCACCAACCTCCCATACTTGTTCCAGATCAGGCCTCTGTACCTTCCCAGTTCTGAAAGGCCACACCAGCAATGAGCTCTTTCTCAGCTCAATAAAAACAGTACCAAAGATTCAGCTGGCTTGAATGTTCTAGGTGTGTGTGCACTGGGGACAAGGACTTTAAACTGTTCTTTATTTTATTTACCATGTTGAGCACAGTCCAACACTGCACAGCTGCTCAAAAGAAGATGAAGTGATGAACAGTGTTGAGTCCGTGAAGACTGTTGGATAGTGTGTGAGTGGATGGCAGGTGGGTGGGCAAAGGGGTGCGTGCATGGATGAGTAACTGGTGGGCACCTTGATAGATGTACAGATGTGAGTAGAATTTGAAATGTTCTGTTAGCCCTAAAGATACAAAACTGGGTCCAAAACATAAATCTTCAAGCAGTTATAAATCAAATCCCTTATGTCATTGGGAAGACATTGGTGATTTCTATTTATCTCTTTGAAGATATGGTTTCCTCATCTTATCACACGGGTTAGCACATAACAAAAGCCATGTGCCAGCACTAGACATGCACACAGACCCCATACAACCACTCTCTGAGTTCCTAACCATAAAAGTGGGGCTGCAGCACTCAGAAACCCACAAATACCCTCTGCTGGGTGGCTGCTCTGGACATCCTGGAGGTGGGGAGCAATGGTGACAGTGACCTTGGGCTGGCGCTGCAGGAGTTAGTCTAAGACATACTGCAAAGTCATGGGCAAGGCTGCCAGCTGCTGCTCCACAGGTTCTTCTATAAGCCCATCATGTACAGCCCAAACCAGCCAACAGCAAAGAGATGAGGACAATCCCTCAGCATGCACAGAGGGCATGTTCATGGTTCATAGAACCTTAGGGTTGAACTGAGGGGTCAGAGCAGAACCTGACAGGACCCATAATTCAGCTCTCCTCTGGCTAAACAGTGCAAGTGGAGGAGTCAGCAAGATGGCTCAGGAGGTGAAGTGTGATGAAAGATCTGAGTCTCCAGAACCCACGCAGCGAGAAACCTGACTTCTACAAGCTGTCCTCTGACCTCCATAATCACACTATGATGTGTACATGCCCAAATACACAAAATTCAGATAACATAAACAAATTAATAAAAAAGAATGTGCTGGGCATGGAGGGGCACGCCTTTAATCCCAACACGTAGGATAAGAGGCAGACAGGGGATGTCTATGAGTTCGATGACTGTGTGGTCTACATAGTGAGTTTGAAGCCAGCCAAAGCTACACTGTGAGACCCTGTCTCTAAACAAAACAAGATGAAAAGCATGTAACTTGAGGGAAGGAGGATATGAAAGAAAGGCTGATTTGATCTCTAGCCAGAACCTCAGTGAGGGAGAGGGAGTCTGAAGATGGGACCCTACAGTTCTCTCTGTTGTTGACTGCTGGGGCTGGTATGCGTAAGAGGAAACAACTCCGCCAATCTTAGGAGGCACCTAGGATTGCAGCCACGCAAACCAGACCGTGCAGCCTCTTACACAGCACACTACAAAGAATTTCCCGGGGCCACACTTGGCTAGCCAGCATGGAGGCTCTGCAACTCCTGGACAGGTCAACGGGCTACTCTCAAGCTAAAAAAGAAAGAGCTGCTTGGAGAAAGGTCTGTATTCAAGGAATGTGGGGCCAGGTGTGGGCCATATTCTGATAACAGGCCATTCTGCTTTGAGACTTAGGGCAGCTTAAGGTATCTGGGCCAGCAGTGTCAATAACCTTAAAGGAGAGTCACCTGAGCTCTGGTCCTGGGCTCTAATCCATAAAAAGCCATAAAAATTGGTGGCCGTGGTAGGGAGTATGTGACAAGAGCAACTTAGAGAGAAAGGGCTAGCTGGGGCATAGTGGCACAGTGGCACACACCTTTAACCCCAGCCCTTGGGAGGCAGAGAGAGTGGATCTCTGTGAGACTGAGGCCGGTCTGGTCTACATACTGCAGTGGGTCTCAATCTTCCTAATGCTGGAACCCTTTAATGCATGCAGCTCTTCACGTTCTGGTAACCCCCAACCATAATATTATTTTGCTGCTACTTTGCAATGTAATGTACAATCCTAATGTAAACATCTGCTATGCAGGCTATCTGATATGTGATCCCCAGAGGGGTCTCAACACACAGCTTGGGAACCACTGACACAGTGAGTTCCAACAGAGCCAGGGCTCCAAAGTCAGAGGTGGGGGTACAGGCTTATTTTAGCTCACAGCTGCAGGTTACAGTTCATCCTAGCAGGGACGTCACGGCCTCAGGAGCAGGAACTAGGGAACACATGTGTGCCTGTTAGGGCTGTGATCATCCTCTCCACTCTTACAGCCCTGATTCCCAGCCCAGGAAATGATGCTACCCACAACAGGTACTCACTGATATAATCAAGATGATCCTCAAACCCTCCCACAGGCCAATCCCATCTAGACTATCTCTCACTGAGTCCTCTTCCCAGCTGACTTTCGCTTGTGTCAAGCTGGCGATTAAAACCCCCAAACCGCCTCATTGTCTTCTGAAGAGACAGACAACAGTGCCTTGGCCTGGCCCTGCTAACAGATTCTCCCAAGACTTGATGCATTTTATTTTCAAAATTACCTCATTGGCCCATTTATGTGTGCGAGAAATAAGGATGGGAGCAGGTAATGGGGCAAGTCCATGAATGAAAGCCAAGAGCCTGGGCTCTGTGTCTTGTGCTTGTAGAAACCAGTTAGTGATGTGGTTCATGTCATGAAAGCAAAGCTTATTATTATGTGACCTTACCAGTTTATATACTCATCCTGTGTCCCTTACCTTCCTCATCTGTAAAATGGGGACACAACAGTATTAATCTGAACTACATGAAACCATTGGCATGCCTTTCTTCTCCTTCCTTCTGTTTTTAGAAACAGGTTCTCAGGTTGGTCACAAACCTCCCTTTTTTAGCTGAGAATGACCTTGAACTTGTGATCCTCCTGCCCTTCCTGAACCCACCTTCTGAGTGCTGAGGTTAGAGGCATAAACCAGGTTTCATGCAGTGTTAAGAACAAACCCAGGGCTCTGTGCAAGTTGGACAAGTGTTCTAACAACAGAGGGGTGTCCCCAACCCTAAAACTTGTTTCTGTATGCCATAAATAATTGAAAATAGGTAATTTCATATGATTCTACATAAATGTTTACCGGTGAGGAAGCCTCCTTGGTTCCTAGCAGACACTTTTATCATCTACATGTAAGTTACACTGTATCCCTTGGCACACAGGCAAATGTGCCCACATCTCCAAAGACAGTGATACCACTGTAGTCTCACAGGAGGTTATAGGTGATGCCATGGCTGCATGGAGGGGGCTCCAATAATACTACATCAAAATTCTGAAATTTAAGCCGGGCAGTGGTGGCACATGCCTTTAATGCTAGCACAAGGGAGGCAGAGGCAGTATCTCTAGGAGTTCGGAGCCAGCCTGAGTTCTAGGCTATCTCTCCAGGATAGGATAGCCAGGGCTACACAGAGAAAGCCTGTCTCAAAAAAGAAAAGAAAGAAAGAAGGAAAGAAAGGAAGGAAGGAAGGAAGGAAGGAAGAATGAAAGAAAGAAAGAAAGAAAGAAGAAAGAAAGAAAGAAAGAAAGAAAGAAAGAAAGAAAGAAAGAAAGAAAGAAAAGAACAAGAAGATTCTGTCTGTGTTCAGAGAAAGAAGTCATTTCTAGGTCCCCATGAACAAATCCGACACTCAGTACTTCAGTCTCCAAATCCGGCTAAGCTGCTAGGTGTCCCTCCCCCTGAAGCTACAAGCACGCCCCTAGCATGCCTTTTTTTTTTTTTTAAACATTTATTTATTATATATACAATGTTCTGCCTGCATGCATGCCTGCAGTCCAGAAGAAGGCACCGGATGTCATTACAGATGATTGTGAGCTACCATGTGGTGGCTGAGAATTGAACTCAGGACCTCTGGAAGAGCAGCCAGTGTTCTTAACCTCTGGGCCATCTCTCCAGCCCTTGCATGCCTTTCATGATAATGCCTGGCCTGGTCAGCCGTATCCCACCCCAGGATGCCCTTCACTCAGTGACATTCAGATCTAGAATGGCTGGTCTCAGGAAGGGCAGTCTCCCTGCCTTACAGTCCAGTATCCCTCCCCGTGTCTACTTACCAAGAGACCTGTATAGCCAAAGGTGGCCCACACAAGTGCCTTGGGCAAGCCCTGGCATCATCCATACTGACAGCCAAGGAAACACGTGTGATCACTGAATGGACCTCTGCTTCCCAGATGGGTCACCTAAGACCCCTGTCTCTCAGCCTGGCTTCCCAGCTCACCAGCACTGGTGGGCTTTGCCATGGAAGGACGTGGACCCAGCCACGCAGGCATCTGCAACCCATGTTCCTCCTTTCGTGAGCTTCCCTTGGAGCGAGAGGTCCGTCCTTCATCTCACACCTGCAGGGCTACCTGACCACATCACGTTCTCCTTGGAGGAGCCTCCAAAGCACAGTGAAACACTGCTGAGTATTGAGGTCACCATGGCATGTGCACATGCACACTTTCATGCATGTATCTGCTCAGGGTGTGGGAGGTGGTCCCCACTGCCTTATTTTTCCACAGTATGCAAATGCAATTGGATAGCCTGGATACTGGAATCATTCACTTCTTTATTACCACCACCCCTTACTAAGACGTGAACTGCATGAGGGCAGGGGCTTGTCTCCATTTTGCTCACTGCTGCCTCTCTGGTTCTAGAACAGGGCCAGGCACAAGGCAGATAATCAACAGCTATTGCAAGAACGTGAATTCTATCCACACTTAACTCGAAGTTACCATTTCTTGAAGAGAAAACTGAGGCTCAAGAAGGCAGGATGACTGTCTCTGGCCCTCAGCTAACTAGCACAGCACTGGAGCCCGAATCTAGATCTTGTGCCTCCAAAACACTCCTTAAGCTTCAGCCCCGTATGTGAGCTCTCCCATCCGTCCCAGTGGCCAGCACACGGCTGCTCACTGCAGACTACTGATTTGTGAGAATCATTTCTTGTGATCCTAGAAGAGGTATTCATATGCACTCAGTCCCTACCCACCTGGGAACAGCCACTAGGTCTCTCAGCATAGCCCGGGCACAGCTCGTGGGGCCAAACCCAAGACTGATGAGACAGACTCACAGTGTGTGTGTAGGGAGGGCCAAGAAGCTCACATCTTCAGGGCATCCCTGGGAGGCAGAGCTGGACTAGGCCACGCATAGCCTGTGCCTACCCCATCGTTCTCCATAACCCCAACCCCCTGGGGTCAGTGGTGCCTGGGGCTTACCATGGACTCACTGATGAGCAGCAGCAAGAGGGCCTCCTCTATGTTGTCTTTTGGGCAGTAGAGGCTGGAAGACACAACAGCATCCCTGGCTGTAGCCCAGCCCACACCAACAGCACCTCTGGCCCTCAAGCGGTCCTTGTGCCCCAAGTCAACATCAGCCTGGTAAGGTGACCCTCTCCTGCATAATTCACAGGCACCGAATACCAGGTGCAGCTCCTAACAAGCCCCGGAATTCTGAACCTCAAAGGCTGCTGCTAGAAATGGCCCATCCATCCCCGGCCTGAGGTGAACCACGGGGAGGAAGCAAGAGGCTCTGCTGTTGGCTACAGACTCCACATTCAACTGGCACATCAGAGAGACGTGTCAGGAAACCTCCAAATGTGTGGCTTCCAGGAGCTATGAAGAATTCTCCCCCGACCCCACCAGAGAGTCTAAAATGTCGGCCTGGCACTGTGCAGGCTGGAGGCCAGGAAAGCAGGGTACAGTGAGGAGCCAGGGAACAGAGCCTGTACACACATTGAGACCAGCGTGGCACAACAGGGCAGGTGGCACTCACTTGTCTCCTTCATAGAGCTGAGGTTTGCGGAGGGTCTGGGTGACGAATGAGTTCTCCTCCTTGCTCATGAACTCAGGCAGAGGGTGGGACAGGGGGCTCCAGTAGCACTCCTCACTCAGGGAATGCAGCAGGACCCCTGCCAGGTGCCTGGCCGCCATCTGCCAGAGAGGGGGGAGACTCAGCTTGCCTGTGTGGTCGTCCGCACGCTGTCCCCGGCCTCCCGGGGGTCCCCACAACTCTACTCCCAAGTCCCTTATTTCTCAGTCCCTCTAGCATGGAAGCCTCCCACCTCTCCCATGGATGGCCTTGTATAGCTCTATCCCATTTTTTTCTCTCCTCTCCTAGCTCTAGGAACTGAAGACTCTGCAGTTCCTTCTAGAGGTGGGAGAAGGCCGGAGGCTGCAGGTACAGAAGACTTCCTAGAGACAGACAGTTGACCTAAAATTCTAGTGAGAATAATAAACAACAGAGAATAATAAAAACAGCTGTGGCTCTGATTTTGGAGACCCAAGGGTCTAGGAACACTGGCCTCACTTGGGATGTGAACGAAGAGTCAATGACATTTATTTTTATTTTATTTTTTGGTTTTTCAAGACACGGTTTAGATAAACAGATGTGTTAACAGCCCTGGCTATTCTGGAACTCACTCTGTAGACCAGGCTGTTCTTAAACTCAGAGAGATCTACCTGCCTCTACCTCCCGAGTGCTGGGCTTAAAGGCATGCGCCATTATACCTGGCTGATCAATGACATTTATTAAGATAATAAAAAAGCGAGCCATACCACATCTTGCTCATGCAAGGGATGGCGGCAGATTTCAACTGTTCTAATGCTAGGAGTCATTCATCTCCATTGCCCTGATGAAGAAGAGGGGGTGAAGAGGGTGCTTCCCAGGCTTGATGGAAAGTACCCTCGGAACAATTAACAATGCCTGCTGAGAGCAGAAGAGGATGGGCATAGGCATGCATATGACATCTCTAGGTCTCCTGCTAGCACTTGTGTTGTCTCCCACTGAAATTGACCTCTGCAAAAACCTGTCACAGCCAACAGCCACATTACCACTTTGAAGTTCTGCGTTGCTTTGGTCTCCACAGTCCTCAGAATCTCCCGGAGTTCCCTCATGCCTTTCACAATGTTCCTGGAGTTGAAGAGCAAAGGTGGGTTCATTGTTAGCCGAGCTCCACAGATACCCTTATAACCCAGCACCTATCAGGCAGCTTGTCTGATTGAGTTTTCTTTGAACACCTTCAATGGATAGGATGAAAACCAGAGTTGTAAATCCAGGACCCTCAAGGTCCAGAACTGATAAGCTGATGAGGGAGCCCCTAGCAACGCAGGGGCTCAAGACACCAAGACTCAGTACTACAAACAAGTCATCTTGGCCCAAGTGCTATGTTGGACTTTCTGGCTTCTTCATTTTAACCCTGCTGCAACTGGATCATGTTGAAATTCATCCTCATTGGTCCCTACCACTACAGCTTGCCTCACCTCGATGACCACACCAGCCAGGCCCATTCCCTCAGGGTGTTTGGCATGACCCACAGTGAGAAATAACCCTCAGATCACAACTCAGTGTTTGAGGATGCTTCCCTTCTCTAATGCTGGGTTCCTGATTCAGTACCTACGTGTAGTCAACTCTGACATGCCCTGACCTACTCCACTGCCTACTCTGCCTTTTTAAATGCTGGTTGCAGCCTACCTGCTCCACTTTGCAGCCCAAGTAGGTTGTGTCCTGGAGCTTGAAAGGGGTCTCAGGTTCTTGGAGGTGTCTGGAACCTCCCCCTAAGGCAGGGTCCTTAGCATGGCCTTCTGGAGCTGCCTGGCTGGCCTCCTCTCCCACATCTCAGTTCTCACCACATAAGCACGTGTTTCCTGGATGACTGTAGTTGTCAAAGTCACGTCTTAGGACTGGCTCCCCCACTGCCTTCGGCCTTTCCCCCACCATCCTTGAAGACATCAGTTCCAATATCATTCCTTCCTCTGTGACTTCGTTTTCCTTCCCACGGCACTGTATGCCTATTGGTTCCTCCTCTGAAGCACACACTGACCCACAAGGTCACTGTGGCTAGGTAAGACACTGGCTGTGGGCAAGAACTGTCTCATGTGTTCCCAAAGCTCTGGTCTATCGAAGCTCCTTCTATGAAGCAAGCTCAGGAGATGGCTCTGCTCATTTGAACAGAAGTTTCCTGGGACCACATCAGACAAGGGAAAGCAGAGGCTGCTGGGCCAGCACAGAGAGGGACCAAGCTGTAGCTGGGAACCAGGAAAGCCACTGTCACTCCCTAACTTCTCAGCCCCCAGGGCCTACAGTATGGCAAGATTGTGCAGATCAACCCCTTTGTGTTCAGAGAAACTTTGGAAGCTAAAAAAACGTACATGCTCCCAAGGTTGAAAGTGCAGACCTTTGTAAGTCTAAGAATGCAGACAGAGACTTGGAGTAAGGTCAGTCAGTATGCAGAAGAAACCACCATAAAGCAGGCGGGGAACCTCAGCCTCCTGAGGCTCAAGGCCCAATGTCACTAACTCTATCCTGCATCAAGAGCAAGCTTACCTCTTTGGCCTACGATCTCATCTGCAAAACATGGGCCTATGCTCAGCTCTGTGTCGCAAGACTCCTTGTTGGCATGCTACATTCTCAAATTTTACTACTAGTCCATCACCAGCATCATTATTTATGTAGTACTTTTGATTATATTTCTTTCTTTTTAACCTAGTAGATATCTTACTATCATTTTTTTTAAATGCTTGAAATCATGGGCTTGTTGTGCGAGTTGGGTTTTGTTTCTCAAAATATATTAAGTGCAGAAGTATTTTTAAGCAAAAGTAATTTTTACAAGCCAGTGTGTGTATTACTTAATTCCATCATGCTTATCACTAAAGGTGCTCAGCCTACACACTAGGAAATGATGAGTCAGACCAGAGCCTTTCAAAGTACAGTCAGTCCCTGGACCAGCAGAGTGCCAAGAACTTGTTAGAAATGAAAGTTCAGGGGCTGGAAGGATGGCTGGCTGGTTAAAGAGAGTCTGTTGTTCTTGCAGAGGACCCAGGTTTTGTTTCCAGCACCCGCAGGGGGCTCACAACCACCCATAACTCCAGTTCCAGGGGATCCAACTCCTTCTTTTGACCTCCATAGGTAAACATATAGCATATATACATTCTGGCAAAACACACAAACACATAAAAATAAACTAAAGAAATTTTAAAAAAGAAATGCAGGCTCTATGTCATGTCACTCCCCCACCCGACCCCACAAGAAAACTCAGGAACCACTGCAATGAGGAGACAGAAAGATTGTAAGAGCCAGAGGTCCAGATTAGAGCAGGATTTTCTAGGCATGACAGGACTTCTGCACTCTTGAACTCACAGCATCTGTAGTTGCCTGTACAGGATCATGCCAGTCAACATTCTAGCACGGACTGGGGAGGGCCCTGAGCCCCTACCCCTGGCTGAGGAGTTACTGACAGTTGAGGCTTCCAGAGATGGGAGGACCAGTTTTCTTTAAGGGTGTGGCTCCTGGTTTGGTCGACAACATTCCCCTGGATGTTCCCCCACACAGGAGCATATAATATATTCAATACAAATTGGACTGGGAAGATTATAAAAAAAATGAAAGAACATGAAGTGAGGAGCGGGTTAGGGGGGAGGGTGGACCTAGGAGGAGGTAAGATCAAAATACATTGCAAGCATGTATAAAATTCTCAAAGAATCAGTAAAAATATTTTTAAAAAGAAAAAGAAATACAAGTTCTGAGGCCCCACTACAATCTGTAATGGAAAACTCAGGTGGGAATCTGGCTTTGATCAAAGCCCCAGTACTTTCCAGGGGACATTCGAGTTTGAGAACTCTGACACAGATTTTGGCCCCCACCCCCACTAGGAGAACTAGTGTTCTCATAGTCAGAGAAGCCAGGTTTCAGAAGGGGCAACTGGGTATGGAAACACCACACTCGTGGAAATATGAGGTGGCTGCTACCTCTCCCTGACTATAGGAAGATCCCTCATTTCTTCGGAGCTGTTGGGAATGTGGTAAGACACACCAAAGCACACCAAGCCATGTGGCAGAGGTGTCCCTACAAACCATTCTTTCTCTTAATCGGGGTTCTGAATGCTCCGCTAATGACATCGTAACTTTCACTATACTTAACAAGGGTGCTCAGGAGCTAAATCACCACATCCATGTGTTTCTTGGATGACTATGTTTGACAAACAGGCACTAGCTTCAGAAGTGTTTGTCAAACAGGCCCTAGCTTCACAGTTGTCTCCCTCAACCTGAAGAACAGATGCCCCAGTAGACGGACCATGCCCACACAAGGGGGGACCATAAAGGCAGATATGGGCACTCCCAGGAAAGAGGTGATAAGCATCCTGACAGTTGGGTCCACAGGCCGAGGCAGGCCACTCCTGGGGCCTCGGGTGATTTTCCACTCAATGGGCGACCTGCCAGACTCTTCCTTGGCATGCTGGCCCAGGCTGCTACCAGGAGACTGGAGCCAAGAGTGCCTAATGTCTCTCCTTTCTCCGCCACAGGAGGGAGCATCGCTGCCAAAGAGTTTTCATGTCCCAAGACCAGCAGACAGGCTACTCCCGGATGCTGAGGAAGGGGTGCTGATGTCCAGGAACTGACCACTCCCAGGACACAAAGAAGGAACAGAGGCTGATTCTAACACAATCCTGTATCCCAAAGCCTTTTTGTTTGTTTGCCTGTTTTAATAATTTTCAGATCTATAAGAGATTTCAGCATCTGAATAAGTTCCCAGGAATGCTCTTGCAGAGTAAATCATCACCCTCAGGCGTTGTGAGTAAATCCCAACTATTATTTACTGCCTTTAAAGAAACAATCCACATAAGAGGTTGCAGCGGCCAGGGCCACACAGGGAGACTTGGGATTCTAGCCTAGGTTGCCTGGCTCTGCATGTTGACAATTTCCCCTGCTTCAGCTTGCCCCTCAAAGGAATGCCTAGGTGGGGGTTCTCAAACGTCGCAGATGGCCACAGCCTGAAAGCAATCCTAGCCCAACCTGCAGCTGCCTTCGCCAGGAGGAGCTGGGGCTTTCCCCAGCCATTTCTGGCTGCCCCGTGAGAAGCCAGCTTGAAAGATCTCTTTGTTCTGGTCTCTCCTGCTGACCTTTCTGAGCCAAGCTGCCCACTTTTAACAATATCCAAACAAAGCCTCAAATAAACCCTGGCCCAGAAACAGGCTGCATAGGGAGAAGCCAGGAAGCTGGTTATTCCAACTAAAGTCAAGTCCAGTTGGCCAAGAGGCGGGTGGTGTGTGTGTGTGTGTGTGTGTGTGTGTGTGTGTGTGTATACAGCTCAGCTTGCAGAGGACTTCAGGTGAAGGTGGGACACATAAACCACCAAGTCCTTCTTTTCCCACTAACCCGAAGTGCTACACATTTTCCAAAGCCCTTGACTATGTTCAGTCTTCAAAAATTTTCATAAGGCTCTATCACTTAAGTCCAAGGAGAATGCATGATGTACTCAATGCCCTTGAGAAATTACCACTGTGGCCAGGCATAGTGGCCCACACCTTTAATCCCAGCACTTGGGAGGCAGAGGCAGGTGGATCTCTGTGATTTCAAGGCCAGCCTGGTCTACACAGAGAAACCCTGTCTCCTATCTATCTATCTATCTATCTATCTATCTATCTATCTATCTATCTATCTATCTCTAAGATGCTTCCACTCCAACCCCTTCTAATGGGAAACTAAAGCCAGGTGCCTGTCTCTCTGGGAATCATGTGCCCAAGGCCGACAGGCTAATGCACAGCACTTTTAGCTCTGAGACCCCGGAGAAAGACAATATCTGTCTTCTCACCTGTACACTCACCCTTCCCTCTCCTAGCCATCTGAGCTCCAGGACTCCTGCGACTCATTTCACCATGGCATTAACAAAGTGCCTTCTGCATGCTAGGTGCCTGGCCAGCTGTGCTGTCTGCAAGTGGCAGTCAATGTGGAGCAAGTGAAGAGAGGCTGAATGAGTGAATATCCCGTCTATGGCCTTGCATATAAGGTGTCTGCGTTCTTTTAAAATAACTGTGCTCCTGATTTCCTGGGAACTTAGCGTTTTGCACACAGTAGGTGCTTAATGATGACTTGGCATAAAATGCTAAGTCAGGCAGAACTAATCACTGAGGGGAC